AACAGCTGTAGTAACCGAGGCAACCTCTGGCCACAAGGTCCAGCTGTGTTTGTTACAGACAGCCGCGGAGCTTCCCCCTGGAGATTCCAAAAAAGATTTTTATCTGCAGCTCAACAGATCACCAAAATGACAGTACAGGGTCATTTTTCTTGCCTCAATTGATTTTGAAAGTAGAATTTACATCCTTTTTATGTAATTATTGATCAGAACTTTCCTTTTGGACATTGTTCTGTTGATTCCACAGTAACGAGCTCCACTGTCGTCACTGTAACGGCCGCTTTATCCTCCTCATTGTTGATTATATTGATCTAATTCAAACTATACAAGGTGTTTGTCGTTGTGTTGACAATAGTTTTCACTTGCAATAAGAGTATTACTGAGCGATTCAGGGCAATTCACAAATACATTGAGTTGAATTAAATTGAGTTGATTAGTGTGAGTAGAGTAAGTACAGAGCATGTCCAGGACCATGGCCTTAGTTCTATTGTTCCCTCCACCACAGCTCTGTGTTACTAGATGAGTGTGTCTTTGAGAGTGTGACTGTGGGACTGAAGTTGCTACATTACTTCAATGTGGTGTACGTACAGCTCCTGCTGTTCATGAAAACACACTGCCCCATCCAAATAAACTGTAACTGCGAACAAGAAGGGGCCTAAAGCGGTGCCCTGAGGCACTCCTGACCTGACGAGATCTGATAACTCTAACTCTATCACCGACTCTCAGACTGGACAGTTCAGATACACTAAAGGACAACACCTCTGAGACGATGGTGGAGCTGTAGATGTCTTGGCTGTAGCTCCATCCGTCCTCACATGGCTCCTGGGGAAGGGCCGTCAGGTTCACGTCTCCAGGAGCAAAACCCTGAGATGAAACATTGAGGACCAGGTCCAGTCTGTACCTGCTGCAGCGGCTGCTCCTCTGCTCTCCATCCTCCACCTTCATCACAGAAGCAAACCCTTCACTCCATAGTCACCAGTGTCACACTCTGGCACAAAATATGGTTGTTCTTCAGGTCACGTTCTTTAACACGGACCATCATCAGATTAAGATTAAGAAATTCTTTATTGGTGGGAACATTTCTGTGTTGCATCTCAGTTTATGCTCTTCAGAACCAGAGCAGAAGGACTGTAGAGTAACCGGAGCACCTGGAAGAAACCTCTGCAAACACAAGGTTAGTCTCACCTGGACAAGGATAGTCTCACCTGGACTGGGATTATGGCCTGGAGCCAGTCTTCTGTGAGATTGACTGGAGGAATAAAGCACTGGTGCGTGGGTGTGGCAGACACAAAGATAATGGCCAAAGTGAAGCCGTTGGGAACCATGCTGAGGCAGAGGAAGAAGAAGACGAGCTTCTGGAACCGTCCCCAGGTCCCTAGATAATCTGTGGCACTCTCATAATCCATGTTTCCTCCGACTTTCTCTTGTGCGCCTCTCATTCGGACGCAGGCTCAAAGTTCAGAAGATTCTGCTGAGACCTGAGTGTGTCCTGAAGCGACCTGATCTCAGCTAAACATTAATCTGGAGACGTCCAGACTGTCCTTATATATTCTATTATAATCTGTGTTTGTTTTTTATATGACATATACAACCAGAGGTGGGGCCAGACGGAGGGAGAATAATCCACTTTGCGACACATGGATCTAAAACAAAGCAAAGTTAACAAATGTCACACTTTAGAATCAACCAAACTCTCTGACTGCAAATCATGTGTGTGTGAGTGTGTGGGTGTGTGTGGGTGTGTGTGTGTGTGGGTGTGTGTGTTTGTGTGGATGTGTGTGGGTGTGTGTGGGTGTGTGTGTGTGATGATCCATGTACACTTCTAAATCAAAATCCCAGTGTTAACTTGTAGAACATATATTTCCCAGTAGAGATCGTTCGACTCAGACACAGAGAAGAATACAACAGCTTTAATGCCTCTTACCTGATCTCCGTCTGTTGCTGTAGATGTGTTCAGAATGTGGCTCTTCCACTCGTGAGCCCTGCCCCCACTTGGCAGAATCCTGATTGGTTACTTTAATTACTGTATTTACTGTATTTACGAGGAGCGTCATAAAAGAACTTTGTCACTGCACGTACAATACAAATAATCAAGTGCAGTTTGTTATTTGCTGTGACAGAAGAAGAACCGGTCATGTTATCTTTGTGAGACAATATTTTAATCTGGGAAAACTTGGGACAAAGATTGCATTAAATTATATTTATCGTCATGATGCATGAATGGGAACTAAACCCATGGACACATGGTTGGGTCTAACATATTGATTGCATTGGAACATGAAGTGTTGATCTTGGAGGTTAGACCTCAGCAGGAGAACCCCTCGGGTCTAGATCCTGATGCAGAAGGAAGCTGAGCCGGAGACATGACATGATCCTCCACTGAAGAGTAGGGGTGTGACGATATATCGATTTTTCGATACTTTCTCCCGCGATATGATTATCGATATGCATTTCCGAAGTATCGATATCGATTTTTTTTTACTATTTAAAAATAAAAATTGGTATCAATACTTAATATATGGCTACATTACGCATCTCCATTCTATTTATCATGAAATAAAGAGTATTTTTTCTTTTATTTATACCATAAATTGGCATATTGTATATTTCTGACCAATATATCAATAATCGTCATATCGTGATAAAATCGTTATCGTAATATCGTTATCGTGAGCTTTGTATCGTGTATCATATCGTATCGTGAGGTACCCTTAGGTTCCCACCCCTACTGAAGAGGTGGTGATGGGGAGGAGGTGGGTTGCTGCTCCAACAGCAGCTTGAAGCTGCAGAGAGGCTCTGTTTAAAAGCTGTCAGTGATGCTGACCTCAGGCGCAGGTGAAAAGGAGGAGTCGGTGTCGCAGGAACGATTCTTTTGGTCTTATGCTTTATTTGGCTCAGAGACCAGTCTAGAGAGAGACCAGACAGAGAGACAAAGAGAGAGACAGGCTAAAGAGAGACCAATGAGAGAGAAACCCGTGAGAACGAGACCAGACAGAGACCATAACTAACCTCATGAGAAACTGTGACAATCATGAGTTTGAGACGATCAATGTTTCCCAAACCCCAATCCATGTACTCTTTGTGAGGTCATTATTTTCAATCGAAGAAGGGAAGGTGAGGTTTCAAAGATGCCACTGACAGCCTTTACCTTAAGAAGTAAGACTGGGATCCATTCTGACATTGCTCTGGGACTGTCCAAACTTGAGAAAAAGCTGTGTCAGCATTTTCAACGCATTGAAATTAAAGGGAAAAGAAGTCGGAAAGTGCCGGTTCTTTTGACTCCTGAAATGATTGCTTGGATGAGGTGCTGGTGGAGAACAGAAGGGCCTGTTCCATCTCTGACCATAACCCATACTTCTTTTCCCGCCCGGGCGCAGACACCCACATCAGGGGATCAGACTCCCTACGGCAGGTAGCCAAAGAATGTGGTGCGGTGCATCCAGAGATGCTATCCTCAACCACACTTAGAAAGCACATAGCTACTATGTCTACAGTTCTCAATATGAAAGAGAATGAGATGGACATACTAGCCAACTTCCTCGGCCATGACATTCGCATCCACAGACAATATTACAGACTACCAGAGGGGACACTGGAGCTGGCCAAAATCAGCAAAGTGTTGATGGCCATGGAGCAGGGAAGAGTGACGGAATTCAAAGGAAAGAGCCTCGACCAGATACAAATTGAGCCTGAAGGTAATTCTTGATATTATTAAAATATGTATGATTTTTTTCCTCTAAAGGCCACTTGTATTTTTATTTTCTGTGCGACAGGGAGAGCAGTAGAGATCCTCTCACAAACGGACGGGCTAAAAGAAACTTCAAGCGGAGAACCTTCAACCATTCATCCAGATGCACCCCATGGTAGTGGCAGTGCCCCTTCTGGTAAGTGTACCAGGTGGGGGATTACAGCCAGGCTGTTTGGTCCTAACCCTGGGAGTGTATATTGCTAATATATTTTTATTTCTCTCCCTAGAACGTGTAAGAAAGCCATGGTCTGCATCTGAGGTGGAGGCTGTGGAGAAGACCATGACGCCTTTCATACAGACTGGAAAAGTCCCTGGGAAGTCTCACTGCCTGGCCTGGCCTGGCCTGGCCTGCATTAATGCCTCACCAGATGACCTTAGACATCGGACATGGAGTGGCATTAAATTCTATGTCAAAAATAGAATCACTGCAATTCGAAAAAAAAATCAAAAATAAAATTCCTTTAAAAGAGTTGTTTGTTTTCTATTGACTGTTTTGTATTACTTAAAGTAGTCCCAGTAAAAAAAGATTATGTCTATGGGTCCCATTCTGAACGGCCCTGTCAAAGGGACCCACCAGGTAACAAAAACGTGTGTGTGTGTGTGTGTGTGTGTGTGTGTGCGCGCGTGTGAGTGTGTGTGTGTGTGAGTGTGTGCGTGTGTGAAAGATGCTTTATAAATGAAACACTTTTTTAATGTATTTTTGTATTTTTTGAATGCTGTAATGTTCTCCTTCTTCCAAGTGTAGTCGCCTGAGTCTTGTTGTTGGGTTCAGGTCTCAGAGTGTCAGGGACAGGAGGGAGGCCATGAAGAGGACGAGTGTCGTTGTTCAAGCTGTGTTTAAGTTGTAGATTTAGAGACTGAGAGTCGCTGCTGTTGGACTCTCCTCCTAAAAACATACAACTACAGATAGCCCACTAAACTGTTGTAGTCTGCTCTGGAGTTTGTGAGGTGGATTTCAGGCTGAGTCCTTCCTCTTTGTGTCTTGCTGATGCTTTTGCTCTGTCTGGATCTTCCACCGTACGGCAGACATCCCAAAACAAACACATCTGTAGCAAACAGAAGCTGTTGGGCTCTCCTCCTAAAACACAAACACCTGAATAAACTCAGTTTAGTCTGCTGCCTGCACCTTCTGAACACTGACACTAGACCATATCTCCAGGTCTCCCATCACTGCCCTGCCCCTCTGCACCTGAACCAGGTCTCAGACCTGTTCCCTTGCACTGTAACAGGTCTGAGACCTGAAACTCCGACGTGTTTAAGACTCAAACATCTTCATTAAAGCTGCGACTCTCTCTCCTCGTTTTGCTGAAGTCCTGTTCAGGTCTGAGCCCTGCCCCTGTTTCTCCTCCTTGGTTTTATGTTCTGGACCAAAGAACTGTGTCAGATTCTTTACGCTTCCGTTGAGCCCTCTGAGCTCCTCACATTCATGTTGGGAGTTTTTAGGTGTGGGTCGCTCTCTACTTGACTGCTGCCCAAAAACATTAATGGTTTTTCTGACACAACTTTGTTGGTGTTGGTCAGAAGGTTGTGACTGCATCTTCTCTTCTGAAACACTCTCTCTGGTGTCAACACAAGTTTCGCTGACTTGCTCTGCTACTACCACCAGAGAGTTCTTCTTGGCCTCTTCCAGATCTTTCTCTAAACGTTTACACAAACTGACCAACTGAGAGTACTCCCTCTTCACGTCTTCAAAGTCCTCTAGTTCACTTTTGAGCCTCTCTATCCTCTCCCTCATCTCTCTCTCTGAACTTTTGTCGACCGCCACCTGCTTTAAACTCTCCTCCAACAGTTGGTCTGTGGGGAGTTGTTGGTTGATGCATCTGTTTGCATCTTCTAGATCCTTCTCTAAACGTTTACACAAACTGACCAACCGAGAGTACTCCCCCTTGACGTCTTCAAAGTCCTCTAGTTCACGTTTGAGCCTCTCTATCATCTCTCTCTCTGAACTTTTGTTGATTGCCTTTTGCTGTAAACTCTCCTTCTCCAACAGTTGCTCTTGGGAGAGTTTGTTGATGCAGGGGTTGATGCATCTTTTGGCCTCTTCCAGATCTTTTTCTAAACGTTTACAATGACTGACCAACCGAGAGTACTCCCCCTTCACGTCTTCAAAGTCCTCTAGCTCCCGTGTCAGCGCCTCTATCTTCCTGTTTTGGATTTCCCTCTCACTATCCTGCTGTTCTAAACATGAGTGAGCTTCCTTTTGTTCTTCCATATGCTGCTTCACTCGCTGCAGCTGCTCACGATGCTCCTTCAGGGCTTTCTGGTGTGAGAGAAGCAGGTCCTGACGTACAAACTCACTATGCAGCAGCTTTTCCTTGGTTTGTTCTAGATCTGTTTGGAGACTTTGGCAATATGTGACCAGGCCACAGTAGTCCTGCTTCAGGCCTTCAAACTCTTCCAGTTTCTGCTCCAGCAAATCTATGTTGGTTCTTTCGCTTTCCCTCTCACTAATCTGTCGCTCTAGACTTTGGCAAAGTCTTTCTTGCTCCTCCAACCTCTGCTGAAGTTTCTCTTGTTCTTCTAGCCTCTGCTGAAGTCTCTCTTGTTCTTCTAGCCTCTGCTGAAGTTTCTCTTGCTCCAACTTCTGCTGAAGTGTCTCTTGTTCTTCTTGCCTCTGCTGAAGTCTCTGGAGGTCCTCACACTTTTGCTGTAAGTCTTTCTCTTGTGAGAGCTGTAGATCTCGCAGACGTCTGTACGCCTCCGTCTGCTCACTCTGACTCTGCTGAGACTTCTCTGTGAGTTGTTGCAGCTTCAGTTCCAGGCGTTGGTTTATTTGGACCAAACAAGAGTTCTCTTCCTTAACGTTGTCAAACTCCTTCAGTTGATGCTGAACCGCCTCATGTCTCTCTCTAAGGACTTCCAGCTCACTGATTGGCTGATCCAGACTTCTGCATGCAGCCTCGCCCTCTGCATGCAGGTCTTCAGCTTGAATCTGAGCAGAAACATCCTCTTGATCCACAGTTTCCAGCTGAATGTCTCCGCCGCTGTGGGTAGCCTCGTGTTGAGGGAGTTGCTGAAGCTCTGGTGGGTGTCCCCAGTGGAACAGGTCCTCCTCAAAATCCTGCAGCTGACTGAACAGGTTTGAGACCAGTTGGTCCAATGAGACTGTGTCACTGGGGGCATTATGCCCCTGTTCAGGACCCTCCCCCGTCTCAAAGTGGCCAATATTCTCCATTTTAAAGACGAAATAAAGACCAATCTAATCTAATATTATCTGTCTAAAGGTGTTTGTATCTCAGTGGTTCTAAAGTAAAGATGTCTCCCTAAACTTGCCTCAAATCTGAGCCGGTGTCTCCACACTCACAGACAAATATCTCAAAGCTTTGGAACTTTGTGATGTCATCACTGACGATGTCTTACAAAGGAAACCATGGCAACCACCATGTCGTAATGGGTTCTAGAACATAAAATCCTGTTACCATGGAAACCTGGGACTATGAAGACTGTATCCATATAATGTTCCAGGTTTCCACGGTAACAGGCTTTTGTTGTGATATATATTTCTACATATAGATAGATAGATGTATACATATAATATATGCAGTAAATATACATTGTTGAGTCACCATTTAACAACTTGTGAAATTCTATATTTAATCATGAAATTGTATCGTTTTATATCAAAGTGTCATAACATCAACAACATCTAAACACATTGATGGCACAGACTGGTTGCCTCGCTTCTGTCAGAGTGCCCCAGGGCAGCTGTGGCTACAGTAGTAGTTTATCACCACTGTGTTTGGAGAGAAAGAATAATGACATGTGAAGCGTCTTTGAGTGTCCAAAAAAGCACTATTTAAAACTGATGCATTATTATTATAAGCTGGAGACGATTTCCTTATATGGGCATTTGTTCTGACGCTGTTAGCTTAGCACTGTGACAGGGGCAGATGTGTTGCTAAGACGGTTGCCAAGGCAGGCAGTAGTTGCCCCCTGGATGAAGGCCTCTGATTGGCCGATCCTTATATGGCTCACATCTGGATTTTCCAAGACAATATTAAGATATAAACAAACAGTTACTGAGTTAGTCAATAGGCAGAGAGAGGAGGCAAACTTCCCCATGAGCACTTCCCTATTGGGCCTGCAGGTTAGCATTAAGCTGGAGTGTTAGTAACATAAACATAACATAAACATAAACAAAAACAAATAAACATCCCAGTAACATAAGTTAAATGTAAAATACTCTTGACGTTTGTGATGAAAACGCTGAGGACTGGAGAAGCTGATGCTGTTGGTTCTGTCCCCGTTTGTCCAGCAGAGGGCGACCACCACCGGCTTCTCCAGGATTAAAATCACTTCAACTCAGGATTTGGATTTAATCTCAGTCGAATCTGAGAGAGAGAGAGAGAGAGAGAGAGAGAGAGAGAGAGAGAGAGAGAGAGAGAGAGAGAGAGAGAGAGAGAGAGAGAGATAGAATCTAGAGAGGGAGACCAGAGAGAGAGAGAGAGAGAGAGAGAGAGAGAGAGAGAGAGAGAGAGAGAGAGAGAGAGAGAGAGAATCTAGAGAGGGAGACCAGAGAGAGCAAAGAGAGACTGAAGAGAGAGAGAAATAGAGAGAGTCCAGACAGAAAATTGGGGTCAAAGTGTGCGTAATTGGTCCCAAAAGCACTTTTTAAAAATCAAAAAAATCAAAGTTGCTCCTTGATTTTTAACACTACTACTACTATTTTCATGTAGGATTTGGTGATGGTCCAATGGTTTTGTTACAGCGCTCTCCCAAGAACCGCTTTTTAAACCAGGGTTTTACAATGTTTTTTAAAATACATTAAGAACCAGCCTTTTTTCCACAAAAACATGCTTTGATTTTTCCTTCTTGTCTCAAAGTGCTTTTAATGAATTTTTAACACCGTAACTACAGGTTGTTTAAACTTTGGCCGATCATACAGGCCTAGGAGTCTCACCAGTGGGACTCACCAGGAGACAACCGGGGCTGCACCGTCACTCATGCTGTCTACTGGGATGTGGCAAAATCAGCAGTAGGAGCAGAGGAGAAGGCCGCAGTGCTCTGTGACTCATTCTGAGAAAGACTGCTGCTGAATGGGTGGGGGAAAAATAGTTGAAATAAAACACTGACAGGCTGAAAGATCGCGTCAGGTGTTATTAGATGGTTGTGTGGGACATGATGTTACCGAGAGAAACAATGGCTGCCGGGGCAGCCATCAGAAAGGTCAATGTTGTTAGTCATGATTATTCACAAACTGGAGCCCACACATAAAGCATCAGTGAGTCATTGTGAGCTCGGCTGTGAGGCAGCAGCGACAGGGTCCAGGGGGTCTGTGAGGCAGCAGCGACAGGGTCCAGGGGGTCTGTGAGGCAGCAGCGACAGGGTCCAGGGGGTCTGTGAGGCAGCAGCGACAGGGTCCAGGGGGTCTGTGAGGCAGCAGCGACAGGGTCCAGGGGGTCTGTGAGGCAGCAGCGACAGGGTCCAGGGGGTCTGTGAGGCAGCAGCGACAGGGTCCAGGGGGTCTGTGAAGTCAGAACATGAGGACATGAAACAACTGTGGCCTATGATTATTCAAAAATAAGAGATCACAGATCTATATTTTTAATTCCCCAAAATGTATCGTCTGTACATTTTCTTTTGCTATTGTCTTTGTAAAACAAAGACGTTTTGGTGGAATGGATCCTGAGCTACTGAGCAGACAGCATTGGCCTTTGGGCCTGAAGGTCGTGGGTTCGAGCCCACCGTAAGACCTACCTCACGACTCCCACTGATGACTGCTGTTGTTGTGTCCTTAGGCAAGACACTTAACCCCACTTTACCTGAAGCCCCCGCTGGAAGATCTAGGCTCCTGTGGACTCACCACCTGCAGGAGGATCAGTGAGGGGCTGGTGCTCTGTGTACTGGGTGGCATCTCTGGCCACCCCCCCGACCCAGAAATGGATTAAGGGGAAGAAGATGGATGGATGGATGGATCCTGATTCAAATATAATTTATAGTTTTACGCAAATTAAGTCACAGATCAAGGAAATTGCATCAAGCTATCAATCAATTAATTCCTATGAATCGATTAATAACTTAAAATTTAATGTATCTAAACGATTAGTTTAGATACATTACATATAAAAAGTATAAATGCTCATTCCCACACACATAAAGAGACCTGCATCAGTGATTGTTCTGGTTTGTTTCTCATAACGATTTTGAACAGGACATGAAATGGAGGGCAGGGCGCAGCAGGCCGAGGGCAGAGGGACATAGGAGGTAGTTATAAACTCCTGATGCGTCGGCAACAGGGAGTTGTCCAGAACCATCAGAACTGGGGAACCATATTGTCAGAGGTGCACACAACGTTTTCAGTGAGGTTCTCAGATGAGTGCCAGGAGATGGTGTTTGGTTTGGCATTTGTCGTGTGGTTCTTAATCAAGATTTTTTTATGCTAACGTTTAGATTGGCTCTGATAATCCATGCCTAAAAAAGTCAAGTAATGACTCACAGGGCTCTTTCTTAAAGCAGCAGTGAGCAATTTGGTTGTTTCTGCAGTTTCTTCTTCGCCTGAGCGTTAGCAGCCCCACCCTCGTCCCTACGTCACACCACACGAACGCTCATCGTCCTCTTTGACTTGAGGCAAGCAGCACAATCTCCTTCAGATCTACCCGTAAGTACATTAAAAACTAAGCACTGGGAGTGATAATAGTATGAATATTTTGTTTGAAAATATCAGCGTTAACAGCTTTGTCGTAACCTAGCTATCAAGCCTGAAAGCGGCTCGCCTGTGGATAGCCAGGTTAGCATCACTGAGAAACAAGATATAAAAACAATCCAGTCTTTTATAGAAAAATACTGCTCTGCTAGTGCAAGAATAGCGCAAGAATAGGATTTGATAACAGTTTCACTCTGATAACTTTTGTGATGAACATGATGTTGCGGGAAATTGCAGTGTGACGTGTCCTTGTTTAAGATTAGTTAAAAGTCTGTTCCGATTTTGGGGGATTCTCGCGGTACTGCAGACTAGACCAGACTAAATTCACGTGGGCTACCCAGAAATTTTCCCCATAGGACTCAATGCATATTAAAACAGCGTGACCTCACCTGACAGAGAACCTGACAGAGAACCTGACAGAGAACCTGCAGCTTTCATAAAGGTCGGATTTTGTGGGGATTTTAGTGTCCCTTGTCATCCTGAACTTTTTTTCTTCTTAAATCCTTCGGTTTTGTTTAAATCCACACTTTACTGCCACAAACTCTGCTCGTCTGGCTCTCGCGCTAACTCCCGCTCTGATGAACTGCTCTGATTGGTCAGAGCGCGGCTGAGCCCCTCTGTGCACGTGCGTGAGACCCACACACGCGTGTTTGGCGCAATGCATTATGGGAGATCATCCACCAGAGGAGGACCAGACGATGCCAGATGATTTTCATGTGAAGTCATCGTTAAATGTCCCCAATATTTCAAAAGACGTTATTAAATCATGCTCTGAATACTTCTTTAACTGATAACAGTCGTTCAACATTTGTTTCACGACCTATAAAAGTTGTTTTCATTTCGATGTCCCGCCCTCCGCCGTTTCACCAATCAGGAAGTCCGAGGTCCGGGTTGTCAGAACTCCCCGCGGCTAGTCTGACTGGTAAAACAACATGTGGCCGCAGAACTAAAAAAAGGTCTTGTTATGACTCTCAAATCATTAATCACAAAACAAAGGGACGCCTTTGAAAAATTGAGACGATTGAAGGCGGATATAAAGTTTTCTTGTGATGCAAAACTTGCCTCGATGAATGCATATGTATCGGTGGGCTAATGGTAAAATCAGCGCCAACACCCAGTCCACAGAGCACCAGCCCCTCACTGATCCTCCTGCAGGTGGTGAGTCCACAGGAGCTGAGATCTTTCAGTGGGAGCTTTGGGCAAAGTGGGGTTAAGTGTCTTGCCCAAGGACACCACAACAGCAGTCATCAGTGGGAGTCGTGAAGTAGGTCTTACGGTGGGATCGAACCCACGACCTTCAGGCCCAAAGGCCAATGCTCTACCAACTGAGCCACTGTTGCCCTGGCGAAGGATATTGCCCATAATTCTTTGCGGTACAAACCAAAACGTCGGGAAAATGCATTTAAGTGTAAGTTTTGAAATATATATGCAGTATGTGTGTAAATAAGTTTGGCTGTTACTTGGAAAGAAGCATAAACGTCTGATGAAGAATTACGGACATTGTGTTTAAACAATTTAATAACTTTTTAATGCAAGCGTTTATATAACATTCAATTTAAACTTTACACTTAGTACAATAAACTTAGGATGTATAAAAACTGACCAGATAACAGTTACCCACATCTAACTTAAAATTATACAGCTATCTCAAATTACAAATAACCAATAAACATGTATTTTAACGTGTGTGGAGCAACTCATTTTGTTTCCCACAGGGTCAGACAAAATTACCTTCGACTTGTATAAAGTTTAGGTCGGAAAATGACAATCTCTTGACGAGTCGATGACGTCACCTGCACTCAGTCAAACAAATGCACACTTTGTAGAGGAGATAGGGTGCAGTGTGGGTATTGGGATTGGGCCATTGACTCTGACTGCAGTACCACTTTTGGCCAGATTTTTTCATACTGCTCCTTTAAAAAAGTCCGCAACTACTTTAAGCCAGTTCAGCCATGACTTTAAATACCCCAAACTCAAAACAATTTCAATGGAGCCCATACTTTACAATAATTGCTCTAAAAACAGGCGGATCCAGGATGAAAGGAGACACGCATCATATGTCGCATTCCCCCCAGTTTCCCCTGCATCTCCCCAACATCTCCATCAGCAAGCGCAATGACAGACAGCACCAGCGACCAATCAGCGACCGCACGCCTCCTCAAACCCGACAATCAGAGGCGTGTGGGGGCAGGACAGCTGGGCTCATAAGCCGGAGCGCTGCCTGGCTTCACAGTCGGCACACACAGCCCTCTCCCGTCCCATTGGCGCAGGTGAACCGTGTCAGGATGCGAGAGGAGCGCGGAGGAGAGGGGAACAGAGAGGGACAGCGCCTGGGCCAGACTGGATACCGGCCCTCTACACTCCGTCCCGGGGCAATGAGAGATCCACCGAAAGCGTAGTACTATGATTTGGTATGTGGCCACTTTGATAGCAAGTGTATTCAGCACCCGAGGAACTGCAGCTCAAGGTGAGTCGAAGTGCAGTGTGTCTTGCGTGTTTTCAATTTGTTGTTTCAATCTGCAAGTTTGATGAGATCCCAGAAATGAATGAAAGAATGTGGATGGTGAGTGTAAAACGTGTGGCTTCATGTTAACGCGGCTTACGTCATGAAGTTCATGCATGAGGCTGTTGATGGGAGCCGGTGAATGCGTGACTTTGCTCGTTTTAAAGTGCTTTTTCTTGGTTTTGTCAATATGCTTGTTGGTTTTGCGGTGATAAATGCATGTAAAGCAGTAATGACACGCGTATTGCTTCGGATTGATTTTTGTGCTAATTTGGGATGACACGTTCCTCCCAAGACTTTGACCGGTTTGGTGGAGGTGTGAGCCCGTGTGCCAGGCTGCTGGAGCTGGGCTGAGGCTCACGGTCTCGTCTGGCTCTTTCTCTGACGGATGAAGGATGTCAGCGCGGGTGTAATTGGACATTTAAACGGATTGTGTAGAATAACCTCCAGGACACCGGCTGCACGTGCGACACCGTCCGCGAGAGGGCGCTAATAGTGATTCAAGACTGCATTGAAGGTGATTAATTATTGGCAGCCCGGTTTATATGAGGGGCTGGTGCTATGTGTACTAGGGGCAGCTCTGACTGCCACCCCCCCCCAACCCAGAAATGGACTAAGGGGAAAAAAATGGATGGATGGATGGTTTATAACGGCTTCTGAGTTTAATTTACCAACTAAATTTCTACAACTTTTCATGTAGTAGCAGTAGCAATGGTGGTGGATGTGGGAAGCATCCACACTGCTGATTTTTAGGACAAAAATATGATTCCCTGTGGATCAATGTCCTTTTTCTTCCAATGGAAATATTGAAGCGAATGTACAGCATATTGTTCTCACTAATTTTTACTACACTAAATGAGTGTAAAAATGTGACATTTCAGTTTACATTGACATTGAGTCTTTTACTGTGTGTGTGTGTGTGTGTGTTACTTGTGGAGAGGAGACAAAAAGGCCATTACCGGCGTCTGTGTTTGAGCATCACTGATGAGGCAATGAAGACTTGATTTCAAAATGAAGTACATCTTTAAGTTTCAAAGTAAATGCAGCAGTTTAATATTTGATGTCCCCCAGACTTAGCCTACATGTCCTGATAATTAGGATACACCAGATGCAGGCTGCCAAAGAGGGGAGACTTAAGGAGATGGCTTAAAGCGGCTTCCCTCGTCTCCTCTTTGGCATAGACACAGCCTGGCAGCATGACCTCTGAAGGAGACTCTGCTCCTGACAGAGAGATTATGACTGTCATAATTTCAACACCTTCTCCTCTTCACTTCATGTGGTAAAAGCCAATTGCTTCCCCAGAAGACTTAGAATTAGTCCTTTGTATGGTCCTTACATTTTTCATTTGACCTCGTACTGAAATCTTGATGTTTGAAAGGTATGGAGGACAGAGACTGACCATTTGGAACAAAATTATCAAGAATAACTAATGAACTAACAAAAACAATAGACGTTTTTTGGGAATACCCAGTTTTCCCTAGTTCTCCCCAAGGTTTCTCACTTTATCCCACTGGGTTTTTTAAGAGTTGTTCCTTGTCGATGCAGGAGGGTCTTCTTCTTCTGTGTGTGCTTTATATTCTTCATGTGTTTTAACTGTTGATTCTCTGACCTGTGTTGGTGATTTCAATGGTTTTGTTAAGTCTCTGAGATGACTTCTGTTGTGACCTAGGGCTATACAAGAATAAGTTGTATTGTATTTTCTTCCTGATGCTGTTTCTCATTTCTGGTTTACGTTCTGACACTGCTTACCGCTGTTCTTTTCTTAAAATATGTCTCTGAAGTGGCAGCATTTGGCAAAACACTTCCGGAAGTTGAGCTTTCCACAATTCCTCATCCAACTACAATAACGACAACATCCCACAACAAAGATTCACTCATAAAAATGTACACAATTTGATTATTTCCTATGTAAATCTGTCTGTATCGACAGTGGGGCGACAGTGGCTCAGTTGTCTGCTGTTGTTGTGTCCTTGGGCAAGACACTTTACTTCCACACTCCTTATAGGCAAAGTGGGTTATGTTCGCTGCTTGTCTTATTCATCCAAAACTGAAATTTCCCTACCGTGGGACGAAGAAAGGACCTTCTTTGTATCTATGTGTTGTTGTTAGGTACTTTGTAATTATTTTAGATTATAATATTAATATCGATATTTTAGTTTGTAGTAGATCTCTCATTGAGCCTTCATGTTGTTGGGTGTAAGTAGGCTTATTATACGGCTTTATACCAACAGAACACACAACATAAACTTCAGTCCACTTTTAGGAATGCCAAAAGGTTTATTTAATGACAGAAAATAAAATAGTTCCCAAAGACTTTCCCGTGGCTATGCTAGCAACAGTTAGGCTGGCAACTTCCAAACTAGAACTCTCTGGAACTGCATGAAAACTGAACAAAGAATCCTGAACATCAGCGGTGAGTGACCCAAACATAAACTTAACCTAAATCCATAATTCCATCCTCTGCAAATGTGTCCGAAAATGTGCCGGTATCTACTTCCGGGTTTTTCGGGATCGCCTTTTCTCGCATTACATCAGTGTTTTTGTCATGAAAACGTAAACGGAAAATTCAGAAAACTTCCGTGCACTTGTATTAAGACTGGATATGTATAAATTACTCTCCGATTAACATTTGATTGCGTTGATTGATTGGCATTTGCGTTTATTGAGCGGCCGGAACAACTTCCGTGTTTTTCACGATCGCTTTTTGACGCAGAGAAATAGTATTTTTGTCGTGAAGACAAGACCAGAAAATTCTGAATTTCCGTGCACGTGTGTGAAGAATGTATATGTATAAGTATAAGTATTCTCCGATTAACATTTAAGTGTGTTGATTGAGCGTGGCTAGCTCAGGAGTGGCCGGAACTACTGTCGGAGTTATCCACGCATCTGAACTACAAGCAGAGAGTGCGTTGCCAAAGGGCAGCGGTCATTATTGTTTTGAGAGGTCCGTTATAGAAAATAATGACCGGTAGAACGTTTTGAAATTACATTCAGATCAATGGAGCGTCTCCTGCTGCTGTGAGGAGCCGTATAATAAGAGGATTTATATATAAAAATGTGTAAGAACCTGTATGTTATTACGAGGAGACCCCAGGAAGACTAGCCATTGCATCTCAGTGGCTAATGGAGATCCTAATAAACTACTCGTGAACGCACCAGAGACTCTGCTAACAAACGTGCGAGCCGACAAGCAGTAACGGCTGAAGAACTGTATTAGGACAGAGAGCAGAGTAAACGTACGAACGCAGCCCATTGGTCTGATCATTTAGTGTCAGTGAACACATTACACTGTCCTCTTCTCCATAGACCTCACAGAGACAGCAGCAGCCGCGGCTCTGCAGCTGTGTACACAGCCGCGATAAGCAACTCCTCTGCTCATTGACAAAAAACAACGCAGAAAGTAAAGCGAAAGCGGCAATAGCGATCACAATCACTGACATGCAGATTCACACAGGATCAGTATTATCAGTCTGTGTTTGGACAAATACAGGAGGTCATTTGCGGCGGAATTATTACTTTACAAATACCAGACATGGTGCATTCGCACGGGACTAGATCTCAGACGTCCTCCGTGATTATCACAAATTACCAGGGGTCCACAGGTAATGCTAATAGGGCTTTACTGTGAGAATTGGAGCCTCGTTGTTAGCCGTTAGCTTCTGCATATAGGGGAGCACATCCACACCTGCGTCTTGTAGGATTTTCCTCAGTAAGCTTTTTTATCAACAAAGTGACACGAGCAAACGTACACTTTTTAGGCGACTTCTTCAACTTCAAAGTTGCTAGCCACAGCCTGGACTTTTAGTTAGCCAACTCTCCTCCCAGCCATACAGCCAAGCGTTTCCATGAGTTAGTACAAGCATGGACCACACAAAATGTCCCAGAACTCTGTTTGCGTTTTGCTGCATCCATTTTAAATTGGCCATGGAATGACTTTCTCTCTTCGGGTCTGATCTGGAGTTGTGTAAGCTGCGCTAAGAGCTAACTGGAAGTCCAGTGCAGCACTAAAGTTCAATAGCCGCGCCTGTGGTTTCCCCCAAAAAACTTGTCTATATAATTTTAGAGACTGCAACACAGGCCCAAACACTGACCCCATATCTCTCTTGAGCCACTCACTTTGTGCTGAAGGCATCACACTTTCCTCTACGTTCTTCTTTAAACAGTTTTTTTTGTGTGTGATGCAATCTGATTTGAACGTGTTTATAAAGTACAGTTTTTACTATTAGTAACTATTGATTAACTATGAATGGGTTCCAAAGAGCAGCGTGTCCAGATGCTCTGAACATTTGGACAGTCCTGCAGTTTCAGTTCTTACTCTGTGAGAAGTGGGTTATAATTATTTGTTTCACTTTTGTAAAACTTGTTTATGTCAGAGTGTTTTATTGTACCCCTATTGGACTCTCAAGGCTGGAGTGTGGGCACAGCTGGCAGCTTTGGACACTGGACCGGGGCCAGACCACCTCTCCTTGTCTCCTGTGTCCTCTCAGACTGCTTGGTGCTCACTTAATGCACACAGAGTCAGGTCTGTTCCTTTATATTCCTTACATCTTGTCTGGCAGGTTGTGCTCTGCTGATACGACGGGTGCCTTATGCAGCCATTCATGTCTACCCTGCCCACGTGTGAACACAAACATGCCAGAGCCCACCATTACAGAGCCATCCCCCGAGGAGCACAGACTTCATCCAGAATCCGACATATGCCCTCTAACAGACTGTCTGCCCCACACTACGAAGGACTAATTATGACTAAGCTGTGAGAAAACGAAACTGCAAAGTGTGATTAAACAATATAGTGTGGCTCACTGAGCTGCAGGAGGAAATCTGGAGGCACCGTTTCTTCATGCATTTAAGGACATTCATGGACATTGGTCATACGCCCCCTGTGGGCTATGCCTA